TTTTTTTTTTTTTGGGTAAATGTCTGCTCTGTTGCTTGACCCAATTGAACTTGGTTTTGGCGAAGAAACTTTTAACGTAAAGCAAAACTGGATACAGAATTAACCATATCCATGGTTTAGCTGCTGATTTGTGAAGCTGAGGCTGAAGCTGTGTATGTGGTATGGTATATAACAGTGTTGGCGATCATTTTGCCATACATATTTAAGTGTTATAAGGTATTTTTCGAATTAGATATCCATATTTCTCTAGTAAATAGATGACGTGTCCATCAGGTATTAAAATGAGAAAGTACCCTCTCTTCACAACGGAAGTACCAAGCAGTTAGAACTGTTGCTAATAAGTACCACTAGTAGCCCTAGGCCATATGTAACAGTTCTAAAGAATGTCAATAATTGTTCTGCAATCGTTCTTTTTTGTTGAAAATACTTTTGTGATTCTTCTAAATTTGTTTGCTTCCGTGCACTCTATTCCCATGCTTTTTGTTTTAGTGATTTTACTCTAATATAAAGTAAAGTATTTGCAGTTATGTATTAAAATTTGTTTTTTTCATTTCCTTTTTTTCTTTTACAGACAATGGAGTTAAGCAATTTCAATGCATCGAAAAAGATATCACGCGAAGAGCGCCGATATTCAGTACCTCACGGTCCCAATACGCCACAGCCTCCAGCGGCATCAGAGGACCTACATGCATGGTCAATATATAGGTCAGTAAATATGTATTGATATTATGTTTATAAAGAAAAAAGATAAATCAATAAAAACGCTAACAAAAATATAAAAACAAGTAATTTTTAAGCAAAAAACAAAACCGACTTCAATTCTCGCATACAAATTTAAGAATACCCTTAATTTCTTCATGGTCCAATGATCGGATCTAAACCAAATTAAATAAGAATGATAGAAATCGCTTAACGTGGTAAAAAAATGTGCGGTAACATACATAAAAAAAATATTCCGACGAATTCATAACCTCCTCCCTTTTTTGAGGTCGGCTAATAAAAAAATTTCGCAGTTTAACTACGCTTCCAGACCATTAATTTTTTTTCTGGGCGATTCACATCTAAAGGCCCAAATCGCTTTCAAAATCAGCTTTCAAAGACAGCGAGTTTCTGGACAAGGACTGTCAGATTCAGAACAATGCTGATAATTTTACCACAAACTATAGAGCGATGAAAAAGTTCAGCAAGCAAAGAATGAGTCCCCCTCTTTTGGGGACGACCCTGGCAAAGTTTAAGAAGATCTTTGATATCCGATCACTTAATAGAGAAGGTAACTCTTCCCGGCGGATTGACGCCTTCGTGATTATTAAGGCTGACATCAACGCCATCCTAAAGATGCGATCTTACAGCGTGACTACAGCTGGTCTGTAAAGGATTTGCGCTCCTTTGCGCTGTGTTGTATTTGTGGTGAGAGAGAGGCTTCGTTGCCTAGTACAGTCAAAAGCGTGTTTGGCTTTTGCAATGCAAGGATGGGCTAGGAAAGAAGGTCTGTTCCCACCGTCGGAACAAAACAGCGACGCGCATCATTATCTAGTTGCAGTCCAGCAATGCAAGAAAAGCTCTGCGTTTTTTAAAATCTACACCCACAAAAGACTGCCACCATATTCGCCACTCGACTATCATACTGCTCTCTGAGAGCACTCTTCAACAAAACGACATGTGCGTTGATATAGGGGCCGATACTTAAGCTGTAGAAGAAACACTTTGCCATCATGATAAATGGTAACAACAAAGGAAATAGTAAAGAAAAGGATGCCGAGTCCCCAGTGGATGACGACGGAGTCTAATTATTGTATTGAGTGAAAGGCAAAATCCCACCGAACAATAAACTGATTGGGATTCTTAGTTTGGCCTTAGACCTGATAAATCCACCAAACAATCGCCCTATCTCGGCTGCCGTTTCAAAAACGCACTATCGCAGAAATGGTTCACCAACCCCTTATCTTAGCGGCCGATGTATTGAATTTATATTGAGTTAAGGCATTTTTGAATTGCAGCTGAGATAGTACGCTATCGGAAAAAATTCTGAGATAGGGCGTTCTGCAACCAAATTCTGAAATACGGTGTTCTTCAATCATTTGCTAAGATAGTTCGTTTTCAAACCGGCAGCCGAGATAGCGCAATCTTCCACTCAGCCGAGGATATCAGGTCTTAACCATGTGCCATATCTTGAAAAAAGGCCCGCGGAATGAGGATCGACACTACTCATCTCTTTGTCGATTTTAAAGTCTTTTTCGATGGCATGTTTAAAAGGAGATGCCTATATTATGTCAGAATTTAGTATCGCCGCGATACTCATGCGGCTGTGTTAAATTACGTTCAGCAACGCCACCAACTTCTCGGAGCCTATCTTGAGGTCAGATTCTGGCTTCATTTAAACTTTAATAATGGAAGCGAGACTTATTTTACCTCATGGGAAATACATGTGCTTCAGTATTTAAAGCGAAGTTATCACAAAACATTTAAAGCTGTGGTTTAAGTGGGTAAAAATTGCCAAAGGCACTGGAAAGCCACGCGTCTTTGGTGATATCTAAAGCTAAGCGGCTTCGATACGCATGTTTTCCTCAATCTAAATCTAGAAAGTTATTAAGCAGCCAGTTTGGAATACTCGTACAAATAATTGTGTATACTCCTACTTTGAGAAAAAATGTTTATGCCGTTATAAATCGCTGTCGCAATGAAAATCAGGCTGGTGAAATTCTGTTTCCTTAAATATTTAAGTATTTTGTAAAATAAAATGGGATGCCCCATTTATGACCTGACCATGGCGCTTGGTTTTTTTTTTTTTTTATAATCCAAAATTCCTCTGACTCATAGTTGAACAATAGAAGCATAGGCGCATATTCATAGTCATATTTAGTACTCAACTAAGTCGAAACTANCCATTTATGACCTGACCATGGCGCTTGGTTTTTTTTTTTTTTATAATCCAAAATTCCTCTGACTCATAGTTGAACAATAGAAGCATAGGCGCATATTCATAGTCATATTTAGTACTCAACTAAGTCGAAACTATTCTAAGTCACAACTAAAGCTATTCATAGTCGCCTTAGTTTCGACTTTTTGGCTAAGTACCAACTTAAAATTTAGTTTCGGCTGCAGCTGCAACTAAGTTGTAACTAGGAAGAAGTTTTTTTATCAAATTAAGGGAAAACAGACGAAATATGTAAAAATTAAGTTGGTAGAGGGTGAATTTGATAATATTGAATAATCTCCAATTAAAATTTACAAAGATCGATCCATTTTAATCGGAAGATGAAATAATGAGTCAGTTTCAGGCTAGTTCTTTTAAAGTAAATTTGTGCATAACATTTAGATATCTACTATTTGTATGTTTCACAGCATGCTTTCGATAAACATCGACTTCACATCACTGCGGTTGTTCTGGCTATTTCACACAATTAACAAGAAAATNATGATCAAACTTGATATTATTTAATAAAAATGTAATTTTTCCAAAATATCGTAAAGAAAAATCGATACATTTTCACACTCGTTTTGCTATATCGTAAACTAAGTCGAAACTACTTAGTAGAAGTCTGAAATGAATAGAGGTAAATTTTAAGTTGGTACTCGCGCCTCGCAGGAGCTTTGGGATCCACTCCAATAGCTTCTCTAGAAAAAATCTTCACTCTACCGCTCTTTGACTTATTCGCTGAAATGGGTGCTGCCCAATCCAAAGGTAGATTGACTAATTAATAAGATTAATTAAATTACAGAACCCTTGAACACAGCTTAATTGTGGCTGAAAGCACAGGTAGCACAGACTATATGGCAACGTGCTTCAAGTGGGAACAAAGGTTTCGCACAGCGATTGAGAAAAAAGGATGGCGGAGGGGAATGAAACTTAGTCATTGATCTCTAAAAATCTTCACCGACGACTCGAAAATGGTAACGGGAGTGTGTGGTGGAATATACTGCCGGGAACAGTATATCAGGCGGGCAGTAAGGTTACCTGACCATTGCAACATATTTCAAGCAGAGGTTATCGCAATGAGAATAGCCCTCATATAGCATTTTATCCAAAAACCTACTTCGCAGCGGGAATCCATTGACAGGTAGACCGCAGATAGAATTCTGCACATCTATTGGATGACCGGCCACAAAGGAGAAATGAAATAGCAGATGAGACTGCCAAGAGCGCCACCAGTCTGACCTTCGAACAAACAAACTACTTTCATTGACCACTCCAGCACTTGTATATCGAAATATTCCATAATAGGATTATTCCGTACAGGGCTAGATGAAATGAGTTAACCAACTGCAAACTGCAAAAAATTATGTGCGAAAACAGCGGAAGTAAATATATTCGCTTCTTGTTACGGCTATCAAAGGAGTATTGCAGAGTTGTTACCGGATTGCTTACGGGGCTTATCCTGGTAGCTGCTCATGCACAAAGTATGGGTATCACTAACATGGACAGGTACAGGAAGTATCGTGAGCGAGAGACCAAGGAAACCTTAGAACACAAACCTAAACCGAAACCACGACTACAAACTTAGAGGCCTATCAGTGTGAGAAGTTAGAGGACTTCTTAAAAGTAGAGCCAAAATTACTTGAAAATTCGCAAAAAGCGTGGTGTGTGATGTCTACTTGAATGCTTGAAATCGAGCTCCAACTGTCAACGCTAAGGCTCTACCAGTTTGTGTGTGGCTCAGTGCCGACAAAATTAACCTAACTAACTAAATTTGGTACAGAGATAAACTGCTTTGGACGTTGTGTGATTTATTCGTTCGCTTACAAAGGCTACACAAAAGATAAAGTCCACTGTCGAAGCTGTCAGTTTCAGCTGAAAGCGAGACTCTGATGTAAAGCCCTCTATATTAGGAGAAGGAACGGCGCGCGCTGTAAATACCTTCATATGTATGTAGTATTGCACACGCAGCATGCATTGAATATTTGACTATAAAATTAATCCGTATGGCCTTAGCAACTTTGACTAACATTCTTAATGAAAAATTTGTTTTAATTTGTTTAGGAAATTGCCAATACTAAAAATGCACCTGTTGCTCACGTATTTCATGTTTTTATTCTATTCGTCTTTTCCGCTTTTGGCCTCTACTACTTACTATCTACCAAACTGTTTAAGAGCCATCGTCGTATGTACATATGTTTGTGTGGGTTGCTAATACTTTAAAACAAAGCTTCACCACATTGCGTTTTGCGGTTGACTAGATATGAAATAGCGGAAGTGCTCATAAATTAACAATGATTGATTTTTGACGTTGTTGTTGTTTTTTAAAATCGTTGAGCCCCAAGAGCCAATGTCAGTTGCCGCTGCAAGAACGCGCCACTCCTTCTCCACTTGCCAGTACCCACTCAGCTGGCACGTATTGTGTTGCTCACCAAGCCCTTCAATTTAGCCTGCACTCCATTCAACGATTACCAACCTTTTACAAGAATAATCACGCGCAGCAACAACATAAAATAAATGCATATAATCACAGCGAAAAAAAAACGAAAAGAAATTTATGTTGGCTTAGTAAACCGCACTTATAGTTTGAATTAAATATAATTTGCCTACTCATTTCTTTCATCCACACATTGCACTTCGTTGCAGGCAAAATCTCAACTCCGACTTCACTGACTCCGCTTTGGGCTCATCAGACAAATCACCGCTGCCATATGGAAATTTCCAGTTACGCGACACCACAGTGCAATCAATTCTCAATCATCCGCGCTACGGACCGAAGTGAGTGCCAGCAACAATAGAAAATTCTTAGCTAACTAAATTGCCGTTATATGGGTCTTTCCACCGAACAGGTCTCCCTTGGGCTCGAATATGTACACATATTTGAAGTTTGGTCTGCCGCGCGTTTTCCCGCCCAATGCCGGTTCGCAGCGTTCGCATCGTCCGCCGGGTCCCGGACCGGGTGGTGTGCGTGGACGTGTTAATCGTGGCTTTCGCGATAGCTCAGGTGTACCACCAGCCGGCTCTTCGGGCTATGATAGTAGTGACAACGAAACAACACGCAGTCGTGTGCCGCCCAACTTGAGGTGAGTCAATTACACTTAAGTAGTTGCTTAAAAAAAAATTATTTTTGTTGCACTTAGAAAATACCGCAGCGAGTCGGATTTCCGTGCCATTGGCGGCATACCCAGCTCACGTCCGGAATCGCGCGCGCAAGGTATACCCATAACAGCGCTGCGGCAGGCGAATAGTCGTGCCAGCATTGCGGGTAAGTAAACAGCTTACTTATATAAATAAATTTACGTTTTTGCCGTATTGGTGCTAATTTTTCTATAAAATTGTGTCTTCCCGTCTTACAGTGGGCACCCATATTAATACTCATCACTACATGCCGAATGGCAAACACTACGGCCATCGCTCGCACAGCGAAGCCGATTTGTTGGCCGGTGGCGCTGACGTCATTGGTTATGATTATGGAGAGTCACGTATCTACGGCACATCGCGCAATCGCAGCTCAGAACATCCGAACGGCGGACACGTCANAAAAATTACGTCTTCCAATACCTGCCCGTCTTACAGTGGGCACCCATATTAATACTCATCACTACATGCCGAATGGCAAACACTACGGCCATCGCTCGCACAGCGAAGCCGATTTGTTGGCCGGTGGCGCTGACGTCATTGGTTATGATTATGGAGAGTCACGTATCTACGGCACATCGCGCAATCGCAGCTCAGAACATCCGAACGGCGGACACGTCAGCTACATTATGTCTAGCCGTAAGCATTCCAGCATAGGGCTGGTCTATCCCAACATACAGGTGCATTGTCTAGATGTGAATCCATGTCTGCGCGGCGTATCATTGCAAGCCAAAGCTGGCGATTTGTTCGCCATAATGGCAACATCGCAGCGTGAGGGCACTGCGTTGACGGAATGCTTAGCGGGACTGCATGAGCGTATGGGCGGTGAAATTCTCATCAATGGCCAACAAATCAATAGACGCGGCTTGCGCGAGCTGTGCAGCTATGTGCCAGCGCTAAAGGTGTCCACGCTGGATCCGCGGATGAGCGTGCAGTGTACTTTGAATTTCCATGCTGCGTTGAGAGGTCCGATGGATCGGACTGACCTCAAGGAAAGAGTAAGTGTAAAACAAAAAGTTGTAGATATATTCTTTGTATAAACTTCTCTTTGCTGCCCACAGATGGATGTGCTGATCGAAGATCTGGGGCTGACAACAGTGCGCGCTTCCAACGTCTCTTCGCTTACACACTCGGAAAAGCAGCGTCTAAGCGTCGCATGCCAATTGCTTGCGCAATCATCGCTGCTTATACTCGATCAGATTACCAGCAATATGGACATCTTCGACACATTCTTCCTAGTGGAGTATCTGCGCCAATGGGCAAGTGGTGGACGTATCGTAATTTTGACCCTCCAACCGCCTACATTTGAAATACTTTCCATGTGTTCCGGTGTGTTGCTATTATCGGGCGGACGCACTGTATTTTCCGGCAGCCGCTCTGACTTGCCTAGGCATATGGGTGAACTGGGCTATCCGTGTCCGCCTTTCAAAAATCCAGCGGATTACTACTGTAAGTGACACTTTTTGCAAACACATTTGCAGCTGTCATGCACAGTTTCTTCTTTTTCAGTGGACTTAGTAACATTGGATGACTTGTCGGCCGCTGCTATGCTGGAGTCGTCGGCGCGCATTGAANTATGCACAGATTCTTCTTTTTCAGTGGACTTAGTAACACTGGATGACTTGTCGGCCGCTGCTATGCTGGAGTCGTCGGCGCGCATTGAATCGCTGGCCAACTCGTGGGATCAAATTAATTCGGAACCACCGCTTGCGGCACCACCGGCATCGCTGCCCAACTTTACCAGGAAAGCGGGTTTCTGGGGGCAAACTAAAGCTTTAATCAAGCGCTTTGCCGCGTATAAGCAGCCGGGTTCGCTGCTCACCTGGATCAGCAAATTAATTGCGGCTGCAGTGCTTTCGCTCTGCATCGGTTGCATATTCTGGGATGTGCCTGCGTCAGATCCACAGCTCAGCTACAACGATCGCTTCGGTTATCATCACTGCGTTATGGCGGTGGCGTACTGGCCCTTGCTGCTGCTTACCATACGCGATGCACAAGAGGATCGGAGACATGCCGAACGCGATATACGTTTGGGACTCTATACGCGCTCCCTTTACATCACAATACAAGTAAGTTGGCCTGCGTTTAGCCATGGAAACGAGTATTCAATAAACCGATTTCCTCTTTTAAAGTGTCTTTTGGGACTTTTTCCAAGCCTTTGTATCTGGTTGGCTTACTTGCTGCCCGCACACAGCATGGCAGGGTTGTATACCTATTCAACAAGCAGCGATGCAGGCATCTATCTCTATATGGGTATGCAATGTGAAACGAACTATTGATTCGACATTTCTTAATTCACCTTGCTTTCTCTCTCTCTCTCTCTCTCGTAGGTTACATGCTGCTCTATCTCACAGTTATTCAAACGCTTGGCCTCTTTTGCGCGCATCTCATGCCCTNGTCCACCTTGCTTTCTCTCTCTCTCACTCTCGTAGGTTACATGCTGCTCTATCTCACAGTTATTCAAACGCTTGGCCTCTTTTGCGCGCATCTCATGCCCTGCAAGGTGTCCGCCAGTATCTTCAACGCGCTGATTACTTTGGGTCTGACTGCGGTGGGCGGCTATGCGGTGCATCCACGTAATCTTTCGAAATTGTGGTCGTGGTCGCAATTGATATCGGCCGAGAAGTGGTTGCTGCCGGTTTTGGNGCGTTTAGCCATGGAAACGAGTATTCAATAAACCGATTTCCTCTTTTAAAGTGTCTTTTGGGACTTTTTCCAAGCCTTTGTATCTGGTTGGCTTACTTGCTGCCCGCACACAGCATGGCAGGGTTGTATACCTATTCAACAAGCAGCGATGCAGGCATCTATCTCTATATGGGTATGCAATGTGAAACGAACTATTGATTCGACATTTCTTAGTCCACCTTGCTTTCTCTCTCTCTCACTCTCGTAGGTTACATGCTGCTCTATCTCACAGTTATTCAAACGCTTGGCCTCTTTTGCGCGCATCTCATGCCCTGCAAGGTGTCCGCCAGTATCTTCAACGCGCTGATTACTTTGGGTCTGACTGCGGTGGGCGGCTATGCGGTGCATCCACGTAATCTTTCGAAATTGTGGTCGTGGTCGCAATTGATATCGGCCGAGAAGTGGTTGCTGCCGGTTTTGGTGCAGGATGAATACAGCGCGGAGACACTGGCCAATTCGGCGGGTCTGCAGCTTTGTCGAAATAAACAGGTATGTAGTTTATTGAATTCCCAAATTAAACGATTAGAATCCTAGCCTCTTTATATTCTACATTTTTGGGTGTAAATGATGATACCGATAAATATACAACGGTTATTAAATGCAAATAGTTAGTTCATAAAAATTAAAAGCTAAAATTATGTGGTTGTGATAGACGCTGCGCTTCTTGACGTGCGTTCTATCGAAGTACCAACAGCTAAGATCCACACCCGCCTCTGTGCAATAAGAGCGTGCGTCAAGCAGCGCCACAACAGACAGCCGAAAAAGTTTGCAATCGACTCTCCAACAAGCGGGAAGAAATGCGTGTTTTTAGGAGAAAGAAAAAACATTCAGAAAGACACGAGTTAGAAGAGCTTAAAATCCTGTCAGGCAAGAATGCGGCTTAAAAATGCTTTAATCTATAAGGCAGCAGTGTTTTGAACTAATTCCTGCAAAGGCGAAGATAAAAATCTGCCAACCGACTACCAGAGTACACTCGAGATATGGAGGGAGCACTTCCCGACGCTTTTGCATGGGGACATTGAGGGCGCCTTTGATGAAGGGAACTTATGCTAACGTCCCTCAGTTCGAGGGGTAAGAACGGCAATAATGCCAGCGGAGCCAACAGCATGCCTGTGGAGCAAGTACCGGCTGTTAAGTAGAATTCGCTATGATGAGTGCCTGGCGCAGATTTGAAATCTCAGTATTTAATCCACAAGAAGGGAGATCCCGCGCCAGTTACCGAGGAAAAAATCTTTTAATATTGCATATATATAATTTCCTATCGACGATACCTAGTGAAATACTGAATCAAATCTAACTATTAAAATCCTGTCAAAGGAGGAAATTTGTGAAGAGTTTTGGTATCGGCTCAATTCGAAAAACGGCTGTAGCATCGGTAGATACAGTTATCAATTACCAATCTATGATAGATAAAACCTAAACCGGATAGGCTCCGGACTAAACGGTGGGTGCAATTAAGTTTGATACCCAAGTTCTTTCAATTTTTGCCGAGTGATGGAAACTAACGCCTACTGATAAAGGTGTGCACTCGTATTCTCCAGACAAAATTATCCAGAAGACATATCCAAGGCTTTATAAAGCTTTTCCGGACTTCGATTACGATATTTTTTTACAGATTGTGGACGGATTTGATCTGCTTTTCATTGCCCGTAATGCATAGAAACTCGATGCATATAATAATTTTTCACTGTTCGTTCATGGTGAGCTAGGTGTCGTTTACTTCACAAAGGAAAGCTGTCTGAGACCTTCGAATGTCACTGCGGGATTCGGCTTTCATCTCTTTTCTTTCTTTTGATGATTGGGGATATGTTGGATGCTGATGGGGCAGCCATTGCCCAACTGCAGGCTTCGGTAGTCCATGTTCAATTCACTGCAGGAGAGTCGCAGACTCGAAGCTTCGACTACCACAAAAGGCCTGCGTTACTCTGGCCTAGTTATGATAAGGATATTGTAGCCGTCTTAACTATCCAGACTCTCCTCATGACATCAACCACCTCTTCATATGTCAGCTCAATCCCACTCAGCTCACAACCATCGCCTCTTTGGCCCGACCCCGTCGAAGCGGCGCGTTTCCTAAGCCTACCGTTAATTGAACTTGACGACAGCGGTTGATGGATAAACCGACCTAAGCGGGGCTTAGTAGTGCCGCTACAACTACATCAACGACATATGTCTTTTGACGAATTGTCTTCTGATCTGTCCATATTAAGCAACGAGCTAAGGAGACAAGCCTGAGACAAGGTTCAAAGTATGCCTGCAAAGTCTTGTGGCAACGTGTTAATCGCCGACTAAACTCTTGAGACTGTAAGGGAATTCATCCTACTTTACCATCGAAGTTGAGCCCAGGGCGGCACATCTGGCTTCGAAGACTGAAATGGAAGTAGATATGCCACACTTTGCGCAAAGGCTATGGCATTATTGCAAAGGCCTTGAAGTGGAATCCACTAATCGGCAGTAGCAGACCTACCGGCAGAGCACGCGAAACGTGGAGAAGAACAATCGATCGAGAGGCAAAGTAACTAGAGTTAATCTGGAAGTTGCTCAAAGCGATTTCGACAAACAGAACCAGATGACGCGCAGGCTCCGCTCTGTATCTCGTTGTGTTGAACGGATGGTCTACCTACGGCTCGATGTCTGTCTTCCAGTCGTGCAGGTGTCGTCGGTGGTAGTGTTATGCTCTTCCACCTCTAGCATCTGGCTTTGTTCGTGGAGGTGATGCTCGGACGACATGAGATGGTATCCTGTAGCCGTACGTAGAGCTGCGTTCTGGCCTGTTTACAGATTTCTCCACTGTGTGTCGCTTGTTCTCGCAGTCCTGGCGGCAGCAACTGGCGCTGCGTAGTTGGCCACTGATCGGCCTTTGCCTTGTAGGTTGCGAGTAGGGTTTCTTTATCAGCTAACCAGATGCTGCCGGCTAGCGACTTGCGGACTTTGTTCCTGGCCCGAACTTTATTGCATGTGTCTAAGGCATGCGCGGAGAGGGAGAAGTTACCGAATGTCACTCCCAGGATTTTGGGGCGATTGGTCGTCGGTATTTTCGGGCCATCGACGAAGATGTCCAGTTCTAGCCTGACCTCTCCAGGTTTTGAAGTGTTGTGGTGGAGATTTTAAGGCTCCTTGCAGTGAAGAAATTGTAAATAACGGTGAGATAGGCGGTTATTTGATTGTGAATCGATAAATAGGTAACGATATCGATAAATGCGCATATATCTGTAAAGTTGAGTAAAAAGAAAATTATATATACATATGTATGTACATACATATATACTTTTACAATCTATATATCTTCTTTTTTCAATTTACAAAGCCAAAGCACACTAACATTCCGTTTATATTCACTTTTCTTTTACAAAGGTTCAACATCAAGAGATTATAGTGCAACAGCCGTGTCCTCCACCGAATGGTACTCAAGTGTTAGTCGATTTTCAACTATTGCCGCGCAATCATATACTTGATCCGACCGACTCCTTTGAGCAAACGACAACACTCGCCTTGGTGCTGGCCTCCGTTATACTCTTTATAGTGACATTTTTCATTTTTGTGTGCAATTGCCGTAATACCTTCCGTAAGAAGCATAAACGAATGTAAAAAGGAAAGAGGAAAACACGCATATAGACACTAAGGATCCTATATATTAAACACTGCTAAAACTTTAAATATTAACGCTGACTTCCATAGTTTGTAGCAAATTTATGCATATTTAAACAATGCATTTACGAACTTAAATATACATAGTTATATGTTATTTAAATGACTATTAAGTTTTATGAAATATTTTATTTTATTGCAAATACTAAAATTTCTAAGTAAAAGTGCGATGTTTATAAAATGTTTATTACAATATTTTCATACTATTTTTTTTATTAGAGATAAGCGCTTAAGAGTATGTAAAAACAAAAAACGTCCGAATGAAAATAAATATTTTTATTTAAGAATAAAAAACTTGTTGCTGATTCTCGCATCGGCTTCGATAACCGAAAATGATAAGCGGTTTGGTTTGGGTAAGAAAAGTATTGTATATTTGTAAATATTTTTATAGCTTGTCACTAAGTGGATTGATTATATATAATATGTGGCATGTGCGTATATTTATAAATTTTTTGCTTTAAAAAAAAATATTTTAAATTCATATCAATGGTGGAATAGGCGCAAGTTCGTGTGGGCCAACACAATGCCGTGTTCATTACAGGCCTCAATAACAGCAGCATCATTGGTAGAACCAGCTGGACTGCCGATGTACGAAACGCCGCTCTATTAAATGAAAGCAACAATATACAAAGAGTGACTAGTATGGGCATCACAAGCTTACCAATTTAGCACGATCTATATTATCACGGAATGGGAAGAAGGCATCTGAACCTAAAGAAACACCATCCAATTTTTTCAGCCAATTGGCCTTTTCATCGGCAGTTAGTTGCGGTGGCACCTCATCAAAACTGCCAAAGCATTAAAAAGAAATAAATGACTCATAAGGATCACTGCACAAATGTGCTTAAAGCATGTTTTGTCACTCACATCGCTTCAAACTGACTGAGTGGCATATCCTTGCCTACGGTGCCGTTCACGAAGTTGTCGATGGCATTTGAGATTTCTGCACGTTTCACGCCCGCCTTAAATTTCATGCCAACAACACGTGGGTGCTGACGCAGCCACCAATTGTCGGCCTTTTCGCCAGCCAAGCGCGTACAATGTATGCGCGATTGCTGACCTGCACCAATGCCAATCACCTGACCATCGCGTGCGTAACAAACGGAATTGCTTTGTGTGTACTTCAACGCTATTGTAGCAACAATTAAATCGCGTATGGCATTTTCCGGCAATACGTTCTTCTTGGTAACAACATTGGAAAACAGTGAAGCATCAATGACAGCATCGTTGCGTTTCTGTTCCAGGGTTAAACCAAAAATCGTTTTACGTTCACGCGCATCAGGCTTGTAGTCTGGATCCATCTGTTGAAATATGCATATTCTTAAATATCAGTCAATGATCACTTGCACACTATATGTTTGTCATTATCACTGGCAAAACTCACCTGTAAAATGCAGTAAGCGCCGTTCTTCTTTTTCTTCAATATATCCAATGCGGCCGGCTCATAACCAGCTGCTATAATACCGTCTGATACCTCACGAGAAATGATCTTTGCAGTTACCACATCGCAAACATCTGAAAGCGCAACAAAGTCTCCAAATGACGACATACGGTCAGCGCCACGTGCGCGTGCATATGCAGTGGCTAATGGCGTCAAGCTGTCATAAAGATCATCGACCATGCACAGCTTGGCCTGCTCGTGACTCAGTGGTGTGCCGACAGCAGCACCTGCTGGCGAAACATGCTTAAAGCTAGTAGCTGCAGGCAAATTTAGAGCGCGCTTTAGTTCGAGTACCAGTTGCCAACCGTTAAGTGCATCACACAAATTAATAAATCCCGGTGAGGCATTGATTACCTTGAGAGGAAGTGACTCAAGCTGAGTGAAAAGCTGTGCGGGCTTTTGATGAGGATTCATACCATAACGTAAGTTGAGCTGTGAAACGCCTGATGAGTATTGTTTGCGGAAGTAATCGGAGATGGCATCATCATAGGAGGCAGTATGGGTGAAGGCTTTGAGCGCCAAAGCTTTTCTATAATCAAAATACCAAAGACATCATCAGAATGATAATAAAATATTCAAGATATAATTAAGAAGTTCACAAGGTATTGTCGTCTGTAGTTGTTGTGTTGTGTGAATATCGTAAAGTTTCACAACTGTGTTAGTAATGTTATGGTAATACGACCTACAACAACACGAAGATCTTGTGGACTTCCGAAATGTAGTAGGTATGTTGGTAAAACTTGTACATATTTTTTTTCATGCTTAGAAACGCTCGCTATCTCACCTGGTATCCAAGGTGGTATCGCCATGCTGGTTAATTTCACTTAGCACTTTATCATAATCGCACGCTTCACAGATCACAGTTACACGAGCGTGATTTTTAGCTGCCGCACGCAGCAATGTAACACCACCAATATCGATATTCTCAACAGCATCAGCCACCGTCACATCAGGTTTGGACACCGTATTCGAAAAGGGATACAGATTGCACACTACCAAACTAACCAAGTCAAAATTTTGCTTTTTCATATCGGCCAAATCGGTTTCTGTAGTGCGTGACAATATACCAGCATGCACGGCTGGATGTAGAGTCTTAACACGACCGCCCAACATTTCTGGTGCACCCGTTATTTCGGAGACATCTTCAACGGTGAGACCAACATTTCGTAAAGCTGTAGCTGTGCCACCACTAGCGACAAGACGAAAACCAAGCGCTGACAATTGCTGGCCGAATTCAATCAATGCAGTTTTGTCTGATACACTTAAAAGCGCTACAAATAATTTTAAAATATTATTAAAACTATTCACGCATGTTTTAACCAAAGTTTATAACTTACCAATACGTTTGGATGCCATTTCTCTGGTAATTCACTTGTGTAAGAGTAGAATAATAAAATTAGTACCTTTTGCGAATGCAGTTCAACTGTAAATGAAAGTGGTTATGGAAGAATGGATTATTATCAACGTGGACGTTTGGGTTTTAAAGAAAACTTGTTTATTATATTAATTGTTATTTTTTGGTTGTGTTTTTTTTGGATTATTGTAAACAATGTTCTGTTTTTAATGCCCATCCTTGCAATTGGTATTGATAAGCTGTGGCATTGGACTCGGTTAAATGGAAATAATGAGCATATTTTATTTAAGAATTGACCCCAGCTTTGAACCAAGAGCTATCAGCAAATGAAACACTGACGATTATCATTAGCAGCGGCGAGCCTTTAGCTTGAATTCAAATTAACGTTTGTCAGAAAATGCGAAAAACTGATAATCATTAAAAGGGGCAAGGGAGTCTTTCTTTAAGTTTTTTTGAACAAATTACCGAAAGGTAATTAAAATCTCTGTGTACATTTTTAGCCCATAATTTCAAAAATGCCAAATTTTGAGTTGTGTCTCTTTTGAAGAAGATGTATGATATGTAAATTTGAAAATAATGAATATCAATAACGATTATTGCAAAAAAGTCAAACTGACATACATAATTGGAATTTCTACGACTCACTAAATTGATTGGCAATGGAAATTAGAGAATAAGATACACACTTTACTGTGCTCGATATTACATAACTGGAATTTCTTAATAACAAATATAAACATTTAGGGGATTTTAAGCTTAACACTTTTTATGTAAAATAACGGTTAACATGATTTTAAAGGATTTCTAACTACACCGATATATTTTTAATCTGGTAAAAAAATATATAACTAGCCCCATATAACCATTATTTTACATAAAAGAATATTAAGCGCCCGTCACATTAAAAAAAAATCAACACGGCGCTTAAGGAGGCCAAGCTGTATGCGTTTTTGATATACGCATATATGATAATGTGGGCGGTGCCACGCCCATTTTCCAAAAATGTAATGAAAAATATTTGTTTTGCTAAAAGCCATTGTATATATCAATTTTGAGTAAATATTGATGAACCCCTTAGCAACATTGCTCAAAAAATCTGCTCGCCCGGTACATACCAGGGATATTGCGAATATTTGCATTCACATTCGTTATGCGAATGATTCGCATCATTTTACACATTCGCATTCATGCTACACGGTCAATAAATAATCTGCACTTATAAAACTCATGTGCATGCATATACTTATATAAACTAGACAATGAACTAAAAATACTTTACAAACTGTTAAATTCTGAAATTTCAAATATTTGAATTGGCCATAAAACGTCGGGTTACGAATAATTTTTTCGCAAAATTTTTCTGAAAAGTTTTATTTCCTTCTCTCCTTTAGGTAAAATTAGTAACGTAAAATCCCCGCGTTCAGAGAAACGATTTTCTTCTAATTTATTTTTGAATTCTGCCTGTATTTTTCCGTTTGTTGCAAATGTATATTTTTCCACTGAATTTCAAAATTTGTAACTTTATCAATGCTTAAGAGTTAATATGTACAGTGGCGGGCAAAAATGGATGAATGGTGTTTCGTTTTTAATATTTTTAATGTTTTTTAAGCTAAATTTTTTTTAAATTTTTTTATAAAAATATGGGTTATGCTTTAACAAAAACTATATAAATCACACTTTTAAACTTTATACAGAACTTAGAAAAATTCCACAAATTTTTATCTAAATTTCGAGCTTTTGAACCAGAATTTTTAGAAATTTTCGGGGTATGCAGTTAACGAGCTCATAAAATTCTAGTAAAATAAAATTTTCGAAATCGGTTGACGTGGTCCAAAGTTATGCGGTAACATACAAAAAAAAAATAATAAACAAGTAAGAAAGTCTAAGTTCGGGCGGAGCCGAACATTAAATACCCGGCGCAAGTATTAAATATATGTTTTTTCACCTTTCCGAAAGCTACCGCTAGAATGAATTACACATTCGCATTCATGCTACACGGTCAATAAATAATCTGCACTTATAAAACTCATGAGCATGCATATACTTATATAAACTAGACTATGAACTAAAAATACTTTACAAACTGTTAAATTCTGAAATTTCAGATATTTGAATTGGCCATAAAACGTCGGGTTACGAATCATTTTTTCGCAAAATCTTTCTGAAAAGTTTTATTTCCTTCTTTCCTTTAGGTAAAATTAGTAACGTAAAATCCTCGCGTTCAGAAAAATTATTTTCTATTAATTTATTTTTGAATTCTGCCTGTATTTTTCCGTGGTTACAAATGTATATTTTTCCACTGAATTTCAAAATTTGTAACTTTATCAATGCTTAAGTTTTGTCCTTCCTTTTCTTCCGTGGCCGCCTGAGAGTTAATATGTACAGTGGCGGGCAAAAATGGATGAATGGTGTTTCGTTTTTAATATTTTTAATGTTTTTTAAGCTAAATTTTTTTATTTTTATTTTTTTATAAAAATATGGGTTATGCTTTAACAAAAACTATATAAATCACACTTTTAAACTTTATACAGAACTTAGAAAAATTCCACAAATTTGTATCTAAATTTCAAACTTTAGAACCAGTGAACGAGCTCATAAAATTCTAGTAAAATAAAATTTTCGAAATCGGTTGACGTGGTCCAAAGTTATACGGTAACATACAAAAAAACAAAATAAAAAATATTCCGTCGAATTGATAACCTCCACCTTTTTTTGTAGTCGGTTAATAACAAAGAGCTAAATCTAGCTCCAAAAGTACTCGAATGGCAACACTGCAGTGCACTCGCGGTTGGCGCAGAAAAACGAAAAACACGTGCAAACATATCCATCAACCCCTGTAAGAAACAGCTGTTAACAAATTTTCACTTTTAAACAAAAATAGTTCGTATGCTGCCAAAATGTTCCAATGCCTTCGCACCAGAAGTTAGATTCTCGGCAGCAAAATGGGAGTTTCTTATCACGTCATCCTTGCCAGAATCGAACTGGTAGCAGTGCTCCCTACCAAATAAGTTCTGAACATATTGGAAACGACGAGCTAAGCCACAGCTTCCAATTTGTTATCTTCATTATCTAAACACTTGGTCGATGAAGACATAATTTTTTTGAACGCGGCAGCGACATAATGAATCTGTATGAGTTTGACATAAAAGAGGAAGATTTTATGTGTCGCTGGAAAAATAGAAATAGATCTAATCTGGCCACAGCCACAGTCGTCGCGTAGCCCGGTCGTCGCCAAAATATTTATCTACATAATTTTACAGCTGTGATCCGTAGCTCGTCGTTTTCATTGTGTTCGTCCTAATAGGTATAATTAGTTAGGTGAAAAGTCACACGAAACACGACCAGACAAAACCAAGCATCCGAGCTGCAACAATTTCTTGCAGGGTCGCGAGTGTGTACTTACTTTGGCTACATGCGGCTCAAATTTCTGTGGGTTAAAACCTGTTGAATGTCGGCCTACACAACATAAAAACAAGCGGAATGCCTACAGCTTTTATGCAAATTTTATGTTGAACGGAATATAAACGCATTAATACTGGAAAAACTTTGCAAAGTTCACGTTTTCCAACGTATAAGCCGCCTTCAAGTTCCAACTTTCTTTTTAACGCGGCTTAACCAAACCTTGTATTTTTCATGAGATGTTATTGTTAGTCACCAGCATAAATATAACACAAAACTATTAAAATAATACCACTAAACTAGAATAGAACTATTTACATTCGTAACTACCATCAGTTGAATACGCGTTTTGACAACTGAACTAAATGAATTCTAATCACGGTGAACGAATCGGGGACCAATGATTAGAGATAAGTGTTGCCACTTGACGATATTTTTAAGTACCAAAACACCAAACCAAAGAACGTAAATGTATAAGAAGCGACAACTCGCTAAAGTCAGCGAGTGAGGTCTGAAAGGTTGAGATGCAGCTGGGCAGCAATAAATTTTATCCTGTGGAGACGGCCAGTAACATGCGAATCCCATAAGGTAGACCGTGTCTGCGTCGACCTACGTCTACGCTACGTCGTCGACTGTTTGAGCTTTTAGCCATTTCTTGTACGTCATTATATATGGAGTTTTGGCTTTTCTTGGGAGCTGCGTACTCGCCTTTCTAATTACAGATTAGGGAATTAAGCTCGAAAATAAGGACAGTCTACTTATGTAAATGTACATTTACGTTCTTTGGTCCACCTGCGTCGTCCCCGACGGCCAAATAGGCGTAGCAGAGTTCAGAACCGGCCGGCCAATTGCCTTACATGTTGCCAGCAACGTTTCTTTGTGTTTGCCCCAGGTGCTGCCGGCAAGCAACTTGAGGACCTTGTTGTGACTCTCTACTTTGTTGACTACTGCGGTTGTTCATCGTCGGAGTTGGTATGCCATCGACGTGAATGGCTAGTTCCTTCATCCAGGCGGTGAAGAGGGTCACCGTTTCCTTGCAGTGACGAAGCGCGAAAGCTCAGGGAGATACCAGTTACATTTGAGCAGAAGTCACCAATTCCATTCCCAGACGCCAATATCAGGCAGTTGCCAGCGTACGAGATCAGATAAATCCCCTCCAGTGTCAAACGCCTTTAACAATTCGAACGCTACTAGGGCTGTTCACTCACAGGGGCAGTTACGGTTTAGGTCACGAGTTATTTGGGGGTTTATGGCGTTCAGTGGTGGTGTTGTTCTGTGCACTTTACGAATGCTTCGCTGAGGTTGGATGGTGCATACATTATGGGAGTAGCATGGTCTGAAGTTTCTTCGCGACCATCGAAAGGGGTGTTGTCGGGTGATACGAGTCTCCTTTGTTGGCTGGTTTCCCGGTTTAATCAGTGGGACCACTCTTCCCGATTTCCACTAATCGGAATGATGAGGGGGCCCATTGACAAGTAGAGGACCTCGGTGAGATATGCTACTCCTTCGGCCCCTAAATGTTTCAGTATCAGCATGCAAATTCCGACGCGTCCAATGTCCTTGGAGGCTTTCAGCTGCCGATAGCTACCTTAACTTCACCGCTGGTGAAAGTAAAAGGGCACTGTTTTTGGGTTTGTGTAGCCTCCTGGTCACGCGACGTTTGGTTCTATCTACAGAACGATGCAATGTGAACTTCCGGCTAAAATAGTTTGCGCATTTCGTCGGATCAAAGGATTCGGGTCCACGGAATTAAATTTTCACTGTGTCATTGTGTCTCGTTGAGTTAGACACGGACCTCATGGTTGACTAGAGTTTACTCACGCCAAAGGCAAAGTTAAAGATCTTCAAGTGCCCAATCTCAAAATTAACGTTAAATTACGTTCGCATGGGGTGAAACGAGCCCCTGTGTCTCTGGGTGTAGGAATGGCGGTGAAGCTGCTACTATCGATAATTTTCGCGAAGCCATTCCAATAAAGTTGGTGTTGGTTCAGTGGTCCGCGGGAACAAATTCGGTGTGCTTATTGATCGAGATAAGTATGGTGAGGTGGACTGATGCAAGTGGTAGCATATGTAAATCGCATTGTTATGCCATTTATCAGGCCTGAGCCAGCAATTGTTAGGTTTGGCGAACTGCTGCAGCCACCCATAATTTTGGAGGGGCGTCGTTGTACGTGGTGCAGAATGTCGAATCGCCTATCTGCCAAGCTTCAGTGCCAAAGATAAGCTTTCTGGGGTGGCCTGTGCTGCAAAGTACTGTGGATGGCATAGCCCGAGTTTAAATTTTCATATCGAAAAGATTATTTTACCGCATTTTAAAATGTGCCCTCGGTGGTTTGTAGAGGGATCAGAGAGGGGAAGGACTTCTTTCTTTGAATGTGATCTTTCTAATGGGTGGGGTTTTGGGTGCCACAGCCCCTCCGCTCTAAATCACACAATTATTGAACAAATAACTAAATGTTTCCCCGAATTTATATCTGATGGGGCGTTAACGCCTTTGTAGTAAGTACTAATTGGAGAAGTTACTAAAGAAACTGTTATGTTATGTTAAGTCGAATTCTATGTAACATATTTTATAGTAGGCAAATATGCAAAATTGGGGATCTGGCCACACCCTATAATTCTAATAAGAAAATGAACAGCTGTCAGCGGTTGTGTCAAATTGATCTATTTGGTGATGTGTACTAGCGATTTAAATAGTTATTAGAAAGTTTTATAAATATTCTTTAATTTCCTTACTTCAGCATTGTGCATTTAATAAAAGGTCAAAATGAACTACAATCCAAATGCTGGGATCCGGAATCGTAAGTCGGAATACTGTAAGAACGAAGAATGCGCAAGTTTATTGGCTTCATCCACTTGGTTTCGTCTGGTAGTGACTAAATTACTGCAGCTTACCTTCATATAATTGGCTATACCACAAATGTTTTGACTATTTCTATTAACTGCATTTTACCTTGATTTTATGATTATCGTTTGTAAGGAACTTAATAAGTTTTGTTTAATTTAGTACTAATAATTTGATTTTAGAAGTTTTGTTTAATTTAGTACTTGTTGCGCGTGTTCGCCTTGCAGTTTAAACATAAAAGCATTTTAGTATTGTTAATATTAATCAAACTCTACTTTCTTCTTTTGCATCAGCTCAAGGTCCATCCCGCAAGCCAAAGCGTGTTAGTGATGTGAATGCTATGGGACCAGCAGCACCGGTAACCGCTCCCCTGCCTTATATGCAACCATCAGCTGGACCGGCAATGCAAGATCCCACAGTCGGATTAACAACTGGCTATGGTATAAACGCACAGCAACCAGCTGTTAGTGTGGGAGGTTTCGACAACAGTGCAGCGCCAGTACAAAGCGCAAATTACAACTATGTGACACCTCCCACTTCTCAACATTTTGCGTTTGCTGGTGGTCCAAACGTGCAGCCNGCGTTCAAGCACAATTTCAAGCTGGTATGCCACAGTTTGCGATGTTCCAACAGCCAATTGTACAAGATATGGCCATGCAATATGGTCAACGTTTAGCAGATCAAGGCAAACAGATGGTTGAAAATCAGTTTGAGAAATGGGTGTCCGTCGCGAAATTGAAATATTACTTTGCCGTGGACAACAAATATGTCATCAATAAATTACGTTTACTGTTCTTCCCCTTCACGCATAGGGTGTGTAGCAAGTAAAAAATCGTATCAATGTTAATATTAATTACAATTTCTCTGTAGGATTGGTCACTGAAATACGATCAAGAGAATCCTGTACAGCCACGCTACGACATCAATGCGCCAGATCTTTATATTCCTGCGATGGCCTATATAACGTACGTGGTTGTTGCTGGTCTCATGCTGGGTATGCAGAATCGTTTTTCGCCGGAGCAACTCGGTATACAAGCATCAAGCGCCTTAGCCTACTGTATTTTTGAGTTGGTGGTTTATTCGATCACTCTCTATGTGGTCAATATAAAAACAAGTTTAAGAACACTTGATTTGCTCTCATTTGCTGGTTACAAATTTGTTATAATAGTAGCATGCCTTTTGGTAAGCACACTGTTCCATGGTGTTGGCTATTATGTGGCCCTTTTATACACGAGTCTTACATTGGGCTTCTTTTTGGTATGCACATTTTTAAAATATCTGATTACATTTTTGTAAATATTTTTCTTTTTCACAGCTACGTACACTGAAAACTAAAGTGCTGCACGATGCGACACCAGCCAGTAGTGGCGCCATCAACTATGATCCCTACGGCAATCCACAGCAACTTGATTATACTGGTGGACGAAAACGGAAACTGTATTTTCTATTTCTTATTGTCGGCGGCCAAGCCTTCTTATCATTTTTGTTATCGAAACACTTGTATTTGCCGGATGCTGCTACGTTAGAAGTTAGAAATACACAATATTAATACTTAATCGTGTTTATTTTATTACGAGCGAGCGAGGCATATATATAAAGCTCCCCCATTTTTCGAAAACTTGGTTTATTTGCTTGTTATAAGAAAATCTTTGAAATATTTTGTATGAATTTAAAATATGAACGGCGTTATACATATGTATGCAATAAAGAGGGTATTATTGTATTGAAAGTAATCCTTAAAGGCGCATGAAATGAAAATCTAAATATGCAATTAAACCTTTTTTAAAACGCGGTGTGGTAAAATGATATTTGAAGTTTTATACAAATGAAGAAATGAATCGGAACTAGTGCTATATGTCATCGAAAATAGAGATTACTAATTAAAAAGCTTTTTAATGCGAATATAAAACATACATAAATACTAAATCCAATTCCATATTCTAAGCATATTTTTGTTAGCGAATGACATAAATAAAAAATGGAAAAATAACACTTCTTTAGAAAATTAACTTTTATTTAAAGTGTATGCTACCAGTACGGGTAGGAATAGGACAGGTAAATAAGATCTTCTAAAGTGTTCAATAAACTATGTACTTTCTTTTATACATAATAATCCATGGGTAGACATCGAACCCGCATAAAGAAGAAAAATGTTTACATAAATATGTATGTATATTAAGGTGGTCCAAAAACAGTAAAGTTGGAATTGTAATGCTCTCCCCAATAGGATTGTTCTATATCGAAAAAAGTATACCACTATTTTTTATTTTGAAATCAAAAAATATTTAGAGATCACTCAAAGCGCTCAAAGTTTTTCATGTATTTTTATACGGGAAAAACTACTCTTCGTAGAAATGGTATAGCATTCTCGAAAATCAATTTTTTTCGATCGGAAAACTCGGGTTCTCTTCAAGAGATTTTCAATAATAATACCCAATTGTTTATTTGACCATTTTTAATACTAACGATTTTTTATTGGTCCGCCCATTGCATTTTTCAGGGTTTTTGGCGGACCTATAAATAATAGTTGCGATGAAAAAATGGTTAAATAAACAATTGGATACTATTATTAGGAATCTCCTGTAGATAAACAGAGTTTTCCGATAGCAAAATATTTATTCTTAAGAATTCTATACCAGTTCTACGAAAAGGTGTTTTTTCCCCATATAAAGTACATGGAAAACTTTGGGCGCTTTGAGCGACCTCTAAATATTTTTTTATTTCAAAATAAAAAATAGGGATATATTTTTTTCGCTATAGAGCAATCCTAGGAGGTGAGAGCATAAAAATTCCGATTTTTTTTTTACCACATACATTTTTGGATCATCCTAATGTATATACACTCCAAGAATTATTTAAAAAGCGCGAGAGATCCGCATAACTCTGGCCCAAATAAATTCTGGGCTCGAATCGTAACGCGCGTTCGCGGATCGAAAACGATACGAAAGAAAATTACGTGCCCTGGATATTGTAGTCGACTGAACTCATATTTATCTAGACTCGATCCCGACATACGAAACATATGTCTTATTGTTGTTGTAACCGCATACAGATTCCCCAAAGAGTTTTTGGGGAGTGTTGCTCCTTGGCCAGACATAAATCTGGGTCGTTCCGGTCCGACTGTCGTAGGAACGGCGGTTGGCCACCTCTCAGTTGAAAAGGTTGGCCACATTCCTCAATT